GGGGATTTGGGGAGTTCTTGGAGGTCCCTTTTTTGGGACACTTTGGGAGGTTCTCGAGGGGCCGTTTTTGGGGGCAGTTTGGGGCTTCCTGGGGGGTCCCTTTTGGGAGATTTGGGGGTCCCAGGGGTCCCTTTGCAGGGTCTCACCTTGCCCGAGGAGGACTCCTCGGACGCCTCCTCCCCTTCGCTGTCCAGCCGGAAAAGCTTCCGGCGCTTCCCGGGGGCCTCGGCCCGGGGGGCTCCGGGGGCCAGTTCTTTGTCTGGGGGGGCAAAAGGGGGGTCAGGGGGGGTCCCAGAGGGGGCTGGGGGCGGGGTTTTGGGGGGCACTCACCGTCCTCATCCTCCTCGGGGGGGGTGGGGGGCCGGGGCCGTTTCTCCTCCCCCCCTTCGTTCAGCTCCGACGGCTCTTTCCGCTTCACCTGGGATGGGGAGGGGAAAAGGGGGGGAAAGGGGGAAAAGGGGAGAGTTTGGGGGGGCCCCAAAGCCAAATGTACCCCCAGGGTAAACCCTGACATCCCCCCTTGAGCAATACAGAACAGCTCCCACAAAAGAACACCCAAAACCTCCCAAAAATCCCCCAAAACCAGACCCCCAGCACCTCCCTTGAAGGAAAGCAGCCACAGAGCCCCCTCCAGCAACCCCCAGGACCCCCCCAGGACCCCCAAACCCCCCCAAAGCCTCCCAAAACCCCCCCAAGACCACCCAAAAACCCCCCAAACTCTCCCAAACAGATACTTGAAAAAGGGCAGCCACAGAGCCCCCTCCAGCAACCCCAACCTCTCCCCAAGACCACCCAAAACCTCCCAAAATCCCCCCAAAAACTCCCAACCCCCCCAGGCCCCCCCAAGCCCCCCCACAGGGGTACCTTGAAGGAGGGCAGCCGCAGGGCCCCCCTGAGCCCCGAGCCCCCTCCCCGGGCCCAGTCGACGAGGGAGAGGAGGGCGGGGGGCTCCTTCGGCCTCGCTCGCTCCTTCTCCTCCCCCCGCCCCGACTGGAACGGCTGGGGGGGCACAGGGGGGGTCAGCACGGGGGGAGACCCCCAGGGACACGGGGAGGGGGTTTGGGGG